CAAGTAGAATAAAATGCAGTTCTTACATTTCCTTTGTTGGGTATAGAATTCTTGGTTCACAGGAACTGGAGGGGGCATAGTGGTTAAAGGCACCGGACTCCCACACGGCCGACCACAGTTCAAGTTCCAGACCTGGTGGCTTGAAAAATCACGCTGGGCGTGTGTGCCCAGAATCCTGAGAGGAGAATGGAGGAGGGATTGTGGTACGGCCATCCCCCCGGGGGGTGATTTCTCACTGTCTTTAGCTGTGTCTCTCTGGCAAGCACACGTTCCCTATGGCAAAAATCTTAATTAAAAAAAAAAAAAAAGAACTTTGCATATTATTCCTTTTAAGATCATAAGTGGTGCTCTCTTGTCTCTACTTCCTTTTTCTTTTTTTAAAGACTTATTTTATTTGACTTTATTTACTTATTTCTTTATGTACTTACATTTAACCAAAGAGGGACAGAGCGAGAGAGAGCTAGAGAGAGAGAGGGAGAGTGAGAAAGCAAGCCGCCAGGTCCGGGACTCAAACCGTGATCTTGGCCACGTGGGAGTCCAGCACCCTCAGCCACCACACCACCTGCCGGCCCCTTGTCTCTGGTTTCTCACGGAAGGTGTCCGGAGCTGGCCTTCTCTTTCATGTGAATGACTAGATTCTACTGCTTAGGTGAGAGAAGGATTCTTTTCCTTTGTATGAGAGGACATCAAAAAGTTCACTAAGGTGAGACTGAGTGTTGGTCGGCCTGTGGCAGCCTTTCCTGATGAATCTTTCATCTGTATAGTTGTATATTTAGCTGTTCTTTCATTTATAAAAGTATACTTTGAAACATGTATTTTTGAGTAATTTCATCTCAAGTGTAATTATTCAAATCAACGGGGATTGAGAGGTGAGCGCACACATGGTCTCCACCTCTCGCCCTCACCCCTGCAGGCGTAGGCTGTGTACCCAGCCACCCCGTTCATGCCACTGGTGGCCCATCACAGTAAACGCAGCTTTTTTGTCTATCTTTTTCACCTGAGACACGAGGTCCCTGAAACTTGAGCTCTGTTTTATACTGTTGGGCTCCCTGACATATGCAGAAGATTTGAGCAAATGACCTGGTTTATTGGAGTGCTGCTTCTGTTCATTTCTTTCTGGGTCCTGCTCACTGCCTACCCAGTACAACCTACTGGGTCATCGGGAAAGTCGTGACAATTTTCTGTGTTTTTCCATGCACAAATGAGTCCCAACTTTTCCGACCACCCAGTATTCGTACCTTTGCACGTATCCTCGTTCCTTTCTGGTGACGGTTCTAGTGCTCTTTGGCTCCTACAGTTTATCAGCTCCTACAACAAGGATATCTTTTTCTGATCGGTGCTCACTTTCTAAGTACGTGTCTTTTCCGGCCGAGTACATGTCTCGTCTTGCAGTTCCAGCACTGCTGTCTCTGAGAGCGGTGTTGAAAGGCATTCTGCTTGTGTTCTTGTACTGTGTCCGTTCCTGCCACCTAGTGACCAAATCAGGACCTGCAGCATCCTGTAGACGCATCTGGGCTTCTATCAGCAGCCAAAGTTTAGAATGTCACAGCTGTGACCTGCTTAATCGCAGTGTTACCCCATTGTGTTTTTAAGGATATAATTGGTGTATCCAGCTGAAGGTTAGAAACCAGTCCTGCTTTTTGCCTTTTTTTGTCCTTTTCAGGTATTTGTACCCTGATACCACCATACTATGTTTCTGCTAACCAGTTTCAGATTCTGGTCTTCTCAGCATAGAGTTATGTCTTTATTGGCATAGTGAAAAGTCTTCAGAAGAAAAGCTAATATTTACAAAAGAATATCTTCAATAGTATTGTCTGATTCTAAAAGATTACTAAATCCCAAGTTATAAGTAGTATTTGTTGAATAACACGTTTTTCTTAGGTCTTATTTATTCTTACTTAGGTATTAATGTCAACCCTTCCGATTGTACATAGACCAACAGGCGTGCACACAGGGAAAGCAGGCCCTGCCACGGTTGGTTCAGCGCTTCCCACCTGAAGCCCAGTGGGTTACTGTGTCCCCCGAGCCGTCTTATCTTCTAGCTGTCACAGTGCTTTTAACCTCTCACCCTGGTTTTGAGGCCAGACAATTCCACTTAGTTCTGCTTTTTTCTTTTGTTCTTAATAACATGGTGCCATGTAGGAGGCAAAACTGCTACTCTAACCCTTACCCCATGAGATGGAGAGGTCAGTAGGTGTTTTGTCACCTAGTTAGAAGTTGAGAATTTTATTTATTTATTCATATTTGAGAGGTTTTTGCTATAGGGCGTGTTCACTCGCCAGAGAGGCAGAGAGAGACAGGGAGACCGAAAGCGAGAAATCCCCCCCCAGGGGGGATGGCCATGCTGCAGTCCATTCTCCTCTCGGGATTTGGGGCATGTGTGTGCACACACCTGGCGTGAGTTTCAAGCCACCAGGTCCAGGACTTGAACTGCAGTCAGCTACATGGGAGTTCAGTGACATAGCCATTATGCCATAGGCTGGTCCCAGAATATTTTGTTTTATTTAATTAATTAATTAATTAATTAATTATTTCGGAGAGGTTTATGCTATAGGGCACGTGCGCTCACCAGACAGACAGAGAGAGACAGAGAGATAGAAAGCCAGAAATCACCCCCCAGGGGGCATGACCACACCGCAATCCCTTCTCCTCCATTCTCCTCTCGGGATCTTGGGCAGCACGCACATGCGCCCGGCGTGAGTTTAAGCCACCAGGTCCGGGACTCGAACCGTGGTCGACTACATGGGAGTCCAGTGACATAGCCATTATGCTAACTTCTGGTCCTTTGTTTTAAATCACTGTAGTTAGTTATCCTTTTCTGATTATTAAACTTGAAAATGTGACTACACTGAGCTATTTTTAAGTGTATTACACTAGGCAGTACAAATTTGGTTCCATTAAAGCTGTAGGCTTATGATTTTACACTCTATAGGCTAAGATTGTTGATATAGATCTTTTATAAGATGTCAAGAAGGGTATCTGTAATGTAGTAATTTCTTTTGTTTTGTCCTCAAAGAGATTAATATGGCCAGGAATAAAAGAAAATTTTAGTGATTCAGAGGATAAGTCAAACCATTTTGTGCCTGTACTGAATGTCCAGAGCTAATTTTGATTTACTCTGTAAGTTTCTTTGAATAAATACAAGTGCTCATAGTGGAAAAGATTTTGTAGAACAAGGAGAAGAGGGAGTGTGATTGTAAATCAGAAATCCACTTTGTATTTTTATTGTGACCCTTTCAGCAGGTCTTTATAGTAAAAAAAAAGTTTAAATAAAATGAATATATGATCTGCCTTTTGCACTTATTCTCTCATAAGTGTGTAGTCAAGTTTTCCAGATAGACAATATGTGATAATGCCCCCCCACCTGACAGCTAATAAAATATGCACCGTGTATTCTATGTTTCAGAAACTTCTCAGTTTAGATTTATAATATGGTAAATAGCAATTGATATAATCGACATAAATAGAAGTTCAGTAATTTTTTTAATTTTTATTGCTAGATGGTATGCATGCTTGCCAGAAAGAGACAGAGGGAGGAGAAAGCACTCAGTGGGCTCTTGTCATGTCAAGCACAGTCCCCTCTCCTTGTCTTTACCCTGTCGAGATTCTGAGGTTTGCATGCACATGAACCCAGTGTGGTTTTCAAGCCACTGGGACCAGGATTCAAACTGTGGTTGGCCATGTGGAATCCGTCTCCTTTAACCACCCTGGGGCCAGCCCAAAGCTTAGTAACTTTTTTTTTTTTTTTACTTTCTTCTTCTTCTTTTTCTTTCTTTCTTCTTCTTCTTCTCCTTCTTTTTCTTCTTCTTCTTCAAAATTTGCTGTAGGGAATGTGTGCTCATGCTTGGAAGAAGGAGAGAACAGAGAGAGAAGTGAAAAGGGACCTCCTAGGAAGGATGACCACACCACAGTCCCTTCTCTTCTATTTCCCTCTCTGGCTTTTGGGCGTACATGCATGTGCACCCACCATGTTTTTTATGCTGCTGGGTCTGGAACTTGAACCAAGCACTTGGCCCTGCAAGATCCAGCTGCCTTAACCACCATGCCACCAGCTGGCCTGCTCAATAACTTAATAGTTTAAAGGAGTGCTGAGACCAAAATTTGTGAACGATTTGTCTATGACGTATCAATAGTTAAATCAAGGTTAGAGACTTGTATCTCTTCGTTTCTTGTTTATCGGGTCATCAGAAAAGTTGTAATATATTTTTCTATTATTTTCTTTTTTTTGTGGGGGGAGGGAGAGGTTTTTGCTATAGGGCGCATGCATTCGCCAGAAAGACACAGACAGAAAGCGAGAAATCACCCCCCGGGGGGATGGCCACGCCTCAATCCCTTCTCCATTCTCCTCTCGAGATCTTGGGCACGCACGCACACACAAGCGCCCAGTGTAAATTTAAGCTGCTGGGTCTGAGACAGTCGACTACGTGGGAGTCCAGTGACATAGCCATTACGCCATGTGCTGGTCCCATGTTTTTCTATTATTTTCAATGCAAAAATGTATCATGACTTTTCTCATCACCCAATATTATGGTGAGTATCATTTTTTGTTTATTTTAAATTCGTAATAGAGTGTAGTGAGAGAGAGATAGAAACACTTTCAACAGGGCCTGGTCATACTGCGATCCCCTCTACCCCCCAAACCACCACCACCACCCTCCCCCGCCCTCTAGCTCATCAAAATCTTTTTTTTTTTTTTAAGAGGTTTTTGCTATAGGGTGCGTGCACTCACCAGAAAGACAGAGAGAGACCGAGAGACAGAAAGCAAGAAATCACCCCCTAGGGGGGATGGCCACACCATAATCCCTTCTCCTCCATTCTCCTCTTGGGATCTTGGACATGCATGCACATGTGCCCAGCGTGAGTTTAAGCCACCGGGTCCGGGACTCAAACCGCAGTCAACTACATGGGAGTCCAGCGACATCAGAATCTTCGGCTCATATAAAATGTGGTGCTTTTTATCCACTTACTTACTCTTTTTTTCCCCATGTATTTTATTTCAGTTGGTCGCATTATGTTTCAGCTCTTCTCAGACATATGTCCAAAAACATGCAAAAACTTCCTTTGCCTATGCTCAGGTAAGTGAATTTTACATTTTTTCCTGATGAAAAGTTATGGCTTACAGTTTTACCTCACTATTATTTTTTTGGAGAGGTTTTTCTTTTTGCTATAGGGCGCATGTGCTCGCTAGACAGAGAGAGACAGAGAGACAGAAAGTGAGAAATCACCACCCAGGGGGGATGGCCATGCCGCAGTCCCTTCTCCTCCATTCTCCTCTCGGGATCTTGGGCACGCATGCACATGCGCCCGGTGTGAGTTTTAAGCCACCGGGTCCAGGACGCAAACTGACCGACTACATGGGAGTCCAGTGACATAGCCATTACGCCAACCGCTGGTCCCAGTTTTACCTCACTATTCTGGAAAAGTAATTGGACTGTGAAATGAGCTTTGCAAAGAAAAATAGCTATTTACAATGACGTCGGTGTGAGATCGGGGAGCATTTCTTAAGGGAGGAGAAAAAATCTACATAATGGAATCCTTTGTACATTGTTGTTTATAAAATAATAGCATATATTCAGATTCTGATATGTCCTGGTAACATTTTACAAATTTCACTATTTTGAACAAATTTAGCATGCCTGATTTCACAAAAACTTCAGAGTAAGAAGGTAGAGAAGCAGAATATAGTGACGTTCTTTGTTCTATGTCATTGGATTTATATTTTAAGTAAGTAGAAAAAAATAGGAAATTTTTCCACTGTGTTACTTTTAAAATCAGAAATGTAATCCATACTTGGATACACACACGCATATATGCACATGCTCTGACACACACACACACACACATGCACTTGCTCTGACACGCATGCACACACACAGTGCACCAACTTCTTGATCCATTCTTTAACTCGAGGGCTAAGTATCTCCAGTCTTGTCTCCTGTAGCTCGTTTGTGCCATACAGTGATCATTTATCTGCTGCTAGTGTGTTTTCACGTTTCCAGGCGGAGATTTGAACCACATTCGGCCATGTGGGATCTGGCTTCCTTAACTGTTAAGCCACAGGCTGGCCCTACATCTGTCTATTACATCTGTCTATTACATCTGTTGTAGTGCCCAGCACACAGGGATCTGGTGAACAACTGGTCGCTTCTTCCCATGGAAGGATGTGTTTGTAGCTAAACTTCATTTTTATTTTTCTCCTAGGGGAGAAAGGTCTTGGAAAAACAACTGGGAAGAAATTATGTTATAAAGGTTCTACGTTCCATCGTGTGGTTAAAAATTTTATGATTCAGGGTGGGGACTTCAGTGAAGGTAGAGCTAAAAGTTATATTCCTGATAATTCTATCTATCAGTTTTTTAAAATATCTCTTTATTTTTAATTATAAATGTCATTTAGTGTATTACGTAAATATTATGTGGTCAATGAGTAGTTGTTGGATAAATGAATGTTGTTAATCCAGAATGTATGAAAAAAAATACTAAGAATTTTATTTCATTTTTATGTGATTTGTTTTAGTAATATGATAATTACTTAGTGAATTGCTTTACGATGGACGCCAGAGTATTGTCTGATTGCCTTTATTCTAGAATTTTGTTGGTGTGATTATTTTTTAAAATAAATGTGCCATGGAGATAATATTTGATGGCATTTATTTGCTTGTTTAAAAATTTTTTTTAATTGCCAAAAGGTACATGTGCTTGCCAGAGAGAGAGGAACAAAGTATCATCCAGTGAGCTGATTGCTTTGTATTCCCTTCTCCATTTCTTAACCTTGTCATGATTGAGGTCATGCATGCCTGTGCACCCAGTGTATCAGTCTACTGGGGCGGGATTCAGACTCTGGTTGGCCATGTGGGATCAGTCCCCTCATCCACTAGGTTACAGGTTCAGCCCTTGATGGCATTTATTTGAATAGGATTTGACTTATATTTTAAAGAGGCTCTTACAGTTGTGATTATCTGAACTAGCAAAGTGTTGGTTCTTTCTACAAAATGAAACCATCAAAAATTATTATTGGGACCAGCAGTTAGCGTAATGGCTATGTCGCTGGACCCCCACGTAGTCGACCGTGGTTGAGTCCCGGACCTGGTGCCTTAAACTCATGCCGGGCACATGTGCGTGTGTGCCCAAGATCCCGAGAGGAGAATGGAGGAGAAGGGATTGTGGTGTGGCCATCCCCCCTAGGGGGTGATTTCTCGCTTTCTGTCCCTCTGTCTCTCTCTGTCTGTCTGGTGAGCGCATGCGCCCTATAGCAAGAAAGAAAGAAAAAAAAAAAAAAAAAAAAAAACACTCCAAAAAAAAAAACCACCAAAAAAAAAAAAAAAATATATATTATTAAAGGACCAGCAGATGGCGTAATGCTTGTGTTGCTGGTAGTTGGCCACAGTTAGAGTCCTAGACCTGGTGGCTTAAAACTCGTGCTGGGCTCAGGTGTGTGCACTCAAAATCCCTAGAAGAGAATGGAGGAGGAGGGATTGCAGCAGGGATTGCATCCCCCTTGGAGGGTGATTTCACATTTTCTGTCTGTCTCTCAGGCAAGCACATGCACCCTATAGCAAAAATCTCTAAAAATTAAAAAACAAAGAATTATTGTATAAATTAGTATATTTTAAATTTTCATTATGATTTAATGTAGCTAATTCTTTTGCAGGTAATGGAAAAGGTGGAGAATCAATTTATGGTGGATATTTTAAAGGTAAGGCTTAAGATTTTATGGTCTCTGTTTCAGTTCTGATATAAAATAAGTTGATATACTTTTAATGAGAAGAGGTTTACTTATAGTTCACTTTTTGCATGAAACTAATGCTGCATGAAAATACTTTATTTGCATGAATTTGGGGATAAATTATATTGTAATGTATAACTTATAATTGACAAGATTAATTAAGGCTAACTTTATGGTTAAACATGACTTTCAGCATGGAGGTTAGGCAACTATATACATGAAAACTCCTATCTTCCTGCCTAAAACTGTCAACATATTCTTTTGTTTATAGAGAATGTGGTCTTTTGCAAAATGAAAAGGTAAGAGAACGAAGCTCAGTAACACAAACTCCAATTTTGTTCCCTTCCACCCTTCCTAATATATTCATGGACAGTCTGGGTCAGGTTTTGCTGGATATAGATATTGCTTGAAGACTTGGAAAATTCTGAATATTATTCCATACATGCATCTTTATCTTTTTTCTTTTCCCAATGGTTTGTTAATTTCACATCAGGGAAAAGAATTTAGTTGTGTTTTTTTTTTTTTTTTTTTTTTTTTCCTAAACTTAGCAATTTCTTTGAATAAAAAGTTGGTATTTCCTTCTTTCTCAAAGGTTTGTATGTTTTCTTTTATATAGTAGAACTGTATGATTGTGTTTTATTCCTCTAGTAGTAGCATTTGCATAAATCTAACTATTGCACTTGCCCCAAAAAGCCTTAGAAAAGTCAGTTGCAGAGATTTGTAATGGCATCCAGTATTACTAGGCTGTAATGCGGTAATAGCTTCAGTGTTGTAATAGTCTTTTATATTTCCTTTGGGGGGAAATGGATTACTACTCTTTTTCAGAAGCCTGTTCCCAAGGTAATCAATTTTTAAAGTTTTCTGTGTTTCTGTTTGTTGTAAGGAAAGAGTTGTTTGTATAAATGTTAAAAGGAAATTTAAATTAGTTTTTAAGAATATTTCTTCTGGAATGAAATAATCCCTATGTTGATGACGGATTTTAATCTCTAGTAGGAAACAGCTATTTAGCTGGTCCTGTTAAGGTATACCAATATTTTTTCAAGAATTTAAAATTTAATTTTATTATTTTTTATCATTATTTAATTTGACCAGAGAGAGAGAGAGAGAGATAGTGAGAAAGCCCAGGACTTGAACTGTGGTCGGCCATGTGGGAGTCCTTAACTAAGTGCCTTAACCACCATGCCACCTGCCGGCCCCATGTATAGCAATTTAAAACTAATGCTGTTGGCCATTTTAATATGCTTTTTTCCCTGTGGCAGATACTTTTTGTACCTTAAAATTGCCATTAAAATTTTGTTTTTATAGGACTTTTTTCCTTAGATAATTTTGTGATGTTAATTCTAAGAAAAGCTCATTTAATTTAGGCATGTCCCTACAACTTAATGTATGTAATATTTTTTGTTCCAATATTCTAGCTTCAATTCAATTGAATAATAAATTTATCATATAAAAATTAAGCACATAAAAGTGTTATCAGACTTCTCTCATTTATTGTACATTAGGCACACTAATTGGAAATTTGGAGGAAATGAGTTTTACCATAAAGATTTTTCTAAAAATTTCTGTACTAGCTTTCCCTGTGAGTTAATAATTCAAATACCATGTAGCCAAAGTATGTTACATACTAAAAGTGACTGTTCTAAGGCTATTTGTATAAAGTATTAAATACTGTCTTTTCTTCAAGGCTTTGATTAGTATATTTTTGGCCTTTTTATGCTTATGTTATTCTGTTAGTTTTTTTTTTTTTTTTTTCCTAAATATTCAGTCAAGTATCTTTACTGACCAGAAGAGGAATTTCATCTTTTGCTTTCTGTTTAATACATGAACATTTCTTTAGAAGTGGCTTATCATTGGAGACTGACGAATTTGTGTTTTCTTTAAACAGATGAAAACTTTATTCTCAAACATGACAGAGCGTTCCTTTTGTCAATGGCAAATCGAGGGAAACATACCAATGGTTCCCAGTTTTTCATGTGAGTAGGCATAATTCAGAGATGAGTTTTGTTCACCAGAGAAGCGCTATTCATGAGAAAGATGGCTTAGTTAAACCAAGGTCAATGCTAAGATATTTGGGGTTTTAATTTGTAATATGATAGGAACTGGTAAGTTCCAACTACTGCCTAAGTATTCAACTTGTGTCCTGGATTTGGAGAAGGGACTTAAAAATGTAACTTGAAGATACACGTTATTTTCAAAATAGGTTATTACCCTAAGAAAATAAATTGGCTTTGGTCCCTACCAAATTTGGGGCTTAGTTTACCAAAACTAGATTGGAACGTAAGCTATTGATGGACATTTAAAAATTGTTCATGGAACACAACTTTGGCTTGGAAAGCTGGAGGTTTCGGTAAACCACTTACGGTGTTTTCTCTTTTTCTTTTACTGTGGTTCTTTGAGCCAATTTTGAGAGATACCATTATTTTCTGATGTTGTATAGAGATAGGTAATTTGCTATTGAGCCAACATTTAAACAACTTTGAATTTTGTGAGGTCTACATGCATAATTGAATTCTAGCATTGCTGTCATTTTCACTGAAGTTTAAGATAAATTATAACTCAGGAAATTTCAGAATGCTAACTTTCCTTTTTAAGAAAACAAACAGCTTTATACAGACACGCATGCGCAACCCAAAACTTATTTTTCATCTGAAGATGCTAAGACTTTGGCATAATATTCTTATCTCAAGCTACTCCAAACTTAACTTTTATTATAACCTCATTATAGAAATGTGACAAATAATCATTTAGCATGAGGTTTGATGCTTTTATTGAAAGTAAATCTCAGTCATGTCATGTGTATTAGAAAAATACTTCATGATTTTTCGGAAGAAGTTTCCTCTGTCCTCTTTCTGAATGGAAGAGTATGAATGGCGCTTCCCTGTCTTGAAAGGAGCAGATTCATTCATATAAAAAAATTCACTGCTTATGTTTATCTGAAAAAGAGATTTCCAACGTGATCTGATAAGTTCAGATAAGGGGCATTCTGTTCCTAAGAATGTCCTAAAAATGGAAAGCGATAAAAGATGATATACTGGAGTTATTCAGGAGAAAGAGCTGAAGCAGTTGTTCCTGCATCGTGTTATACCGTAGGTGATTACACATTACACTTCTTTACTCGGGTATTCTTCTATTCTTAACCTTCTTAGGGGCCAATAAAAATAGAAATATTCTCCCAAACTTCTTTTATAGTAACGGTGTAGAGGCTGTTTACTCTTTGAGGTCTCCTTTTTCCATTTTTAAACTTATCTGAACTACGAATATGTAAAACTAATGATTCACTGGGCAAGAAGCTATCATCCGAGGGCTCTAAAGTTTCTTTGAAATTTCCTTTTTTATATCATTACATTTAAAATGTGATCTATCAGGTAGCAGCAGCTTCTTGCCATTGTTACATACAGATTAGCTTATTTTATTTCTAAAATATTAGACTATAAACTGGTATACCTACATACATCATTTAAAATCCCGTATATGAGCTGCTGCTTCAAAAACCTTGAGCTTTTCTTTTTTGGTGTGTGTTATTTAATACTGTTTAAGTCTTTTGTGGAAGTGTGTAGTTAAGGGCATTACTGTTTTCTCTTTTCTTTTTAGAAAGATTTTTGCTATAGGGCTCAAGTACTTGCTGGAGAGAGAAAGAGACAGAAAGCAAGAAATCACTTCCCCCTTCCCCTGCCCCAGAGGAGATGGCCACAAGGCAATCCCTTCTCTTCCATTCTCTTCTTGGAGTTTTGGTCACATAGGTACAGGTGCCCTGTGTGAGTTTTAAGCCACCAGGTCCAGGACTTGAACTGCAGTCGACCATGTGGGAGTCCAGCAACATAACCATTATACCATCTCCTGGTCCCACGATTACTATTTTCTACATGGCCCAATTTTACATTGCAGTGCTGTTTTTGAAGACAATTGCCAAATGTGTTTGTGTGTGTGTGTGTGTGTGTGTGTGTGTGTGTGTGTAAAAAAAAAGACGTGCGTGTGCCAGAGAGAGAGAGAGAGAGAGAGGGAAAGGAAAAACACCCTCGCCCCCATGGAGAATGATCATGCCACAATTCCTCCTCCTCCATCTCTCTCTACTTTTGGGATTTTGAGGTTGGCATGTTTCTTTTCTATTTTTTTTAAAGAATTATTTAATTAATTTTATTCATTCATTCATTTATTTTAATTCGATTAGAGAGAGAGGAAGTGAGAAAGCAAGCCACCAGATTCAGGACTCACCCGTGGTTGGTCACATGGGAGTGTCCAGTGCCTTAACCACCATGCCACCTGCTGGTCCCCAAGACTGGCATGCTTCTTAAGCTGCTAGGTAGAGACTCGAACTGCGTGGTTGATTACATGGGATCCAGTTACCTTAGCCACCAAGTATGGGATCCATTTACCTTAGAACTGCGTGGTTGATTACATGGGATCCAGTTATCTTAGCCACCACGTATGGGATCCAGTTACCTTAGCCACCAAGCCACAGAAAAGTCTGCCCCCACGTGAAAATTTTACCATCAATAAATTAAGGTTTAAAATTTAAATGTGCTTTTGTAATTAAGTGGAGATGTTACTAGAATGACTACAAACTTGTGTTTGAAAAATTTTCCACTTTTAGTTGAAATTTCATTCTTGAAAGGAGTAAATTTACTTCTGGAAAGGAATTTTCAGTTTAAAGCAATCTTAGGATTGTTTCTGCACACACACGAACCCCTCATCTTCCTCTGTTTTTCAGAAGTTTTATGCCTATGTACTTTCTTTATACTGGCCGGCAGTACCAGTTTCTCGGAGCTGCAGGATAAAGTTAAACTGACGTTCATGTTTCTGAACAAAATGTACCCTCATTTTTATGGGAAGACGAGGTAAATGGAGATGCTGACCCATAAGAGGAAAATCTTTGAAACTCCAGTCTTGCAAGTCAAGTTCTTTTTGGAGTAGAAAGTAGAACAGATTATCTCCAAGTTGTGCACGGTCACAGATGAGAGGTCTGGTGGTCACGGAGCTAGCTGGGAGCCCCCATGGCAGCTCCTGCCTTTCACTCCGTCACCACGCCTCCTTGAGCAGCAGCTCTGGGATCTGTAAGAGAAGGGCAGATGTGAGGACGGATGGTGAAACGAGAGGTTCCTGTCTGTAGGCTTAAGAAGGACTTTAGTAGATCCTTATACGTTGTACCCATAGTTGATGATATAAATCTGCTACTCTGCGATTGTGAAGGAGTAGATTTGATGCTATTAACGTGAGTGTTTAGAAAATGTCCCTCAGGGAATCTTTCGCTTTGTGTCTTAACTATTGTCTTCATTACTTACACATTTTAAAATTCATTCGTCACTTCCTAAGACATACATAAGTTTTTAAAAAATTGAACATAATTTTGTATATATCACTTTCTTCGGCTAGAACAATGGTGTCTATTATAAAAACCAGATTTTCTTCTATATTTGTAATTTTTGGCATAACTGCTTATATCTGCTACTGTATTAGTCTAATGGTTTTGCTTCGAAGAGCCTATATAGAAGAAAATGGATTCTTACTGTTATGGTGCTGCTCACGAAGCAGGAAGGAAGAATCGCAAGGCAGTCCCCGTGCATCACCCAGGGAACTGTGGCTAGCTCGCGCTGAGGCATTTGTGAAGGAATTCAAGGATGTGGCACCAAAGTTATCAAGTGAGGTGTTCACTCGGTTTTAGCCTTTTCACTGTTGGTTATGTTCTATGCCAGAGACTAGGAAGAGACCGCCATAAAGGCTATAGAATGATTAACTCTTAGAGGGGAGAGGAATTTAGAGATCATCAACCACAATCTATAGTTCTACAGATAATGCTAAATAAGGAAGAGATACCCTATAAAGCCCAAATTTTACTCATAATCTGGAAGAAATTGATAGCTAGAAAAAGCACACTATAAATTACATAATTTTTATTATCCTCTCTGCTCTGAATTTATTTTGGTTAAATACTAGTTTTTATTGGAGAGATTTTTTGCTATAGGGTGCGTACACTTGCTCGCCAGAAAGACAGAAAGAGAGACAGAAAGCGAGAAATCACCCCCCAGGGGGATGGTCACGCCGCAATCCCTTCTCTTGGGCACACACGCACATGCGCCCGGCGTGAGTTTAAGCCACCAGGTCTGGGACTCGAACACGTTCGACTACATGGGAGTCCAGCGACGTAGTCATTACACTAACTGCTGGTCCCTATTTTCTTGCTGGGAAATAAAATGATATTCGGGGGGACATTTTATGTTTTGCTGTTAGTAATAATAGTTGATTGGTTCTGGCTCTAATTTTCCTTGTCTTTATGTGTCTTCATCAGCAAGATGAAGAAGAGTGTACCTAAAACAGTCATTAAGAAGATTTGTAGGTGGGTGACAGCTTTGTATGGACAGTTCAGAGATGGGCACTGGCGGTCAGGCAGCCTCGGTTTTAGTTTGTTTGTGTTTGTCTTTCCTTTTTTATAAAGTGTCTAGCCCTGCTTTCAAAGATAAAGTCAATATTCTGGTGTGAAATGTAGACTAAAAGGAAGAGATGTAGGGTGGTCCCGAGGCTTTGAATTTGTGGAATGATTTATGTGCCAACATTATCTTGCCGAAGGAAATAGCTAGTGTTCCCTAATTTTTGTCAGTCTGAAAGGTGGCCCAAGAAACTCTGGGCCCACTTGCCTGGGTGGGAAGCAGCGCTATTCGCACTGTGTGGGTTGCCGCCGAGCCTTCTTGGCTCTGTCTGTGCAGGCCTTCCATCCCAGCCACGGAGTGGGGACCTGCGGAGCTATGCAGAACAGTCCCTGTCACTGACCTCTACATAAGAGAACACGATAATATAGAAAAGTTAAACTTGAACTTCAAACCAAAAGTGCTTATTGTATATTAACAATCAGAAATAGAGCAATGGAGGACGAACAAGGAGTTCTAGAATACGTTATATGAATTAGACCTGCGAATGGCTACTCAAACGAAAGGAAGTTCTGATTGTTTCAGAATAGTGGAGCACGGGGAAAATAGGGTAGCTGGTTTGAAGGAACTTGTTGTGTTGACATTTTGGGGAGCAAAAGTAGATTTGGGTAGGAATGATGTTCCATGCGCATATGCATGAAATCGTGTGAGAAGAAATGCTGGTGTTGATAACTTGAAGAATTGGAGCTTTTTCCTTCCTTTTTTGGGGTCATATCTTCATATGTTGATTTGAAACTTTTTCATGAGCAAAGATGTTTATGAAACTTAAAACAATAAGCCAAGTTCTCTGAATGTGCAGTGTCACCCCTAACATTCAGACTTAATATTACTTGGTATTTGTGTGATATGTGTGTTAGCAAATATGGAGGAAACGCTCTTTCTAGTAGTGTTTGGTGTTTATTAACATTAGGGCTGAATTTTAGGAATCTCTTCTATTTGGGGGACTTTGGGAACACAGGTAGAACACCGTAAAGGGCCTTGGTTGGTCTCTGTGGCCCTCGTATGAGCTTAGCTTTGTCATTCGGTACAGTTTTGTACCTCTTCCATGACGGTGATCATTTCAGGAGCTGAAGGGGAGAAAATGCATGTTGAAGGCAGAACCAGGCAGAAATCAGTTTATTTCCTTCTTCCAAGCTACTTTACACCTAATTTTTCACAAGTCATTGAAAACTCATAATTTTTCAAACATTATATTCTTTTTAACACTAATTCATAGCTTGATGCCCTTATAGGAAATTAAAACTTATTTTTACATACTGTAAGGTTTAATATGTCTCTAACCCCAGGAAAGATTTGTCCATGGTATAACAGGGGTTTTGGTCTGAGGTGTAATAGAAATGTTTCAAGTTTAATACAATTAAAATTGGTCAGACAGGGTGTGTTCTTTGCAAAGTTCTTTTAGTGGGCAAAGTCAGAGATTCCACAGGAGAAGAAAATGCTGTGCCAGGGTTTGACAGCACACACTTTTTTTCTGTCTTGCTTTGTTATCTTCTGAGAAGGACCCTAAAATTCTAGTTACGCTGCTCTGTTCATTTTATTATTATTATATTCAGTGACATAACAACTTCGAAGTGTATCTAATGGCAGTAACTCAGTCCAAACATTTTGCTCCTAAACTCCTGAAAAGTGGTCTGTTGTGATGTGTGGCCACAAAAAAGGCTTCAAATGTAGAAGCATGTAAGATTTTTTAATTATCTGTAGCGGATTGGTAAAACATTCCTTGAAATTCTGCTTGGTTTTAATTGTCGTCACTCAGTTTGTTCCAATGAGAATTTCACTTTCAACTGGAGCATCTTAAGCATTCGGATTTTCATAATCACATGTGTACACAAAATACATCATTCCACTTTTGAGGCAGATGTTAGTTTCAGAGCTCCTTTCTGGGATTTGTAAAGGGAAGTGTCACGTTTCGTTGACTGTCATTGGCACTCTGGTGCCACCGTGTTAAGGCTCTGAGCACATTCCTACTTGAGCCACATTACTTTCCTTAAGCCGAATTCATTATGTAAATGTCTCTGTGAAAGAAAATTTAGAGCCCTCCATGTAAAAAAGCTTTCTTGCTTTGCATAAAATTCGAGAATATTTAATTTCAAAGTTATATTGATATTAAAACATAGATTCAGTCTTGTCTTAAAGTGTATTACAATTTATTTCTTGCCATTTTTGTGTAAAATT